GGGGGGGGGGTATTATATAAAAATAGAAGTTATATCTACACCTGAAATTCAGTACTCCGGACCGTGTCTGCGGTAAGCTGTGAAGGAATATTAGGTTGTGGTTTATTCATGTGTTCCAGTCCCAATTCTTTGAAAGGCTTGTCTCTCTTTTTCGCACTCACATACTCTGCTAACAGTGCCTTACTGACCTGTATTAAAGTATCCTTTGAGTTCTACACAACAACAATCTATAAAATTACATGATTCAATCTTTATATGATCGATAACGAAAAAGTATTTCATCTTAAACTTGGAAGCACTAAAATCAGTTGATTGTATTAGTGTTAAACCATCATTGAAGTTTGTATTTTACAGAAAGGACAAAAAAAAACCAAACAAAATCAAAAAACCAAAAAAATAAATGAAATCTATACTTGATAGTATGGATATATGTGTCATTTATTTTTTTGTCTACTTGCTACACATACTGAAAGGGGTATTTAAAGACAAAGGATAAAAGAAAGAACAGTAGGAAAGAGATAGTATTGGTTTTCTGTACATAAGCTACGCTAAAGTGTAACTAATCCTTTATATTGTTATGAAGGACTAATCAGTCATCTATACCTGCTGCATAAGAACATTGTTGTCGCCCTCAAAAGTAGATTGCACATCAAATTCACCTTTCAACTGACCAATACGGTTTTCTGTCTTCAATCCTTGTCCTCCGCAAGCCTCGCGACATTCCTAAATCAATATTCCTCTGGTGTAAGACTCGGAGTCCATGAATATATACAAAAAAAAAATGACTAGGTTGGTAACCTGAAGCGTTCGCATGTTATGCCATGTTAAAATAGCCTTGAATGCACTAGAAACAACATGGATTGATTTGATTAACTGAGGGGTTCTCTTAACATATAGGAGTTTTAGATAGTTGGCAGCGAAGCTCATAGCATACCTGTGGCAAAAGTGAAGAGTAACATAATAAATATAACTGTCACGGGTATGTTCCTTATCAGTGATAATTAGTATGGAAGAAATTTTAAATTGGTATTATAATTAATTGGGTTGCAAAACATAGTCCTACTCAAATGATATGATGTTTAAAAACGATAAAACAAAAAGAAAAGAAAAGAAAAGAAAAGAAAAGAATAGGCCAGCTGAATTTTACAACCAAATTATTCATTCCAACTTCCGATATGATTTGGTGTGAAGCTAAGGAAAGGCAATGCTAGTGATACAATATGACGTCGTTGTTAGAATTTTGTGTTTGTCCGACATTGATTATTTAACTGGACTGTTATTATTTATAAGTGTGGGTTAGTATCCCTTTGAGCTTTTTTAGGATGAGTTTTGTTCAGGCTATTTATCGCGGTACCAGAGCACTCAGGTCTGTTCGTTTGTAGGTTATGTTGGCTTTGGACTTGGGCCCATTTGGATTGGCACGCAATGTGTGACAGGAGTGTTAGATGTTTATGTTTGTACCACATCAATTAGTTGATGGGTAGTTAATGTGTTATCGGTTAGGCACTCTTTCCCTTTGACCTAAAACCTGACCAGATTTGCAGCGTAAAAGCTATCTATAATTTGTTCTTGTGAGCACTATATCATATGGGCAAATCCAAATAAACAATTCGACCAGTAATTTCCAGGAAATCTCTGCTATATGCATTTAAGTGATAATCAGAGAATTTTCAGTGATTGGCTGATTGTACCATGTGAAATTAAAGTATAAACACCAATATATTCCGAAGAGAAAACAAGCAGAATTTAACACTCACGTCTTTGCAAGAAGAGGTAGAAGGCGTCGTTGATGGCTTGGGTAATCAAGCAAAAGAACTTCAGGAGTATTTGGTGTAACTGAAAATGCTCTCCTTGTTAATGAGTATCTAATGGCAATGGCTAAGCTAATCTGTTGAGAGAAAACCAAGACATCAAAATACTAACAGATAGGTCTAAGTAGCTCATACGTATTCTCAAAGGTAATAGAAAAAAGGTATTAGAAAAACAAAGAAGAGTTGGACATTGTAGGAAAGACAATGTCCGTCACCTTTGCAGAGTAAATGGCACTGGTTGCAATGGTGACACGTCCAGATGTCAATGGGGCCATGAATGCTCCAAATCTCTGAAATTATACTGATATGTTAAATTCCTCTTGAAAAGTAGAGCACATTATTGAAACCCAAGCAAGGGAATTGTTGGAATTATTAATAATACTGGTGTATCTGGAAAGAGTTCAAGAAACATGTACATGAAAGTATTACAGCAGTCAAGATAAACATATAGCCCTAAAAAGGTGAAATAAAATAAACCAGGTCATAAAACAAAATCATCAGAGATGAAAGAACCAAACCTGGTCAGGGTCCTTTATCGCACTCAGATAATTTCCATCTGGAGAAACATCAGCAACTGAATTCAATAAATTTTCCCGAGGGATGCGAACATTGTCAAACCTTTGAGAAGCCACATTAAGATCAAACTAACTTAGATAGTAGAAAATGCAAAAATCTACAATAACGTAGAGAATGGACATGTTTTATTTACCATATTCGACCATTGTCAACACCATTCAAACCGATCTTATGACCGCAATCAGCGATCCGGATATTGGGACATATTGTTCCATCTGCATATCTAATTTGGGTTATAAAAGCATGGACACCTTCATTCTTTCCATCTATTTCGAGCTGTGAAAAGACTACCGTGTGTGTTGCATGCTGCAAACAATGAAAGAAAGATGTCATAAGAATAACATGCAGAACATAAGCATGTCAAGCGACTTGTTGTACATTCCGATAGCGAGCCATTACATTAGCTGCACCTCCAATCCAGTACTTTTGAGCAGATTCACATGGTGTGTTGATAACAAACTCCCCTGATTTTGAATCATAAGTGGTAATTGTTTCAATGCCTCGAACCTGAAACCATAAAATAGAATGCCTTCAATACACTTTCATGAGCCTTCAAGAGAGATAGGGAGAGAGAGAGAGAGAGAGAGAGGCAAAAAATTGCCCGTTAGGCAGCACGCCATGAATTGAACTAAGCACATTAACAACCAGTCAATACTTACATTGCTGCCATGCCCCAACTCCGTCATTGCAAAGCAGCCTTTAATATTGTAATTTTCTGTTGCACTCAGCCATTTATCATGATGCCTCTTTGTACCAAAAAACTGGACAGCACCACCCCTAAACCATGAGCAACACAACGAGAATCACTAACATTTTTTACGTAAATAAGCCAAAGAGATATCAAATCCTGCAGCCCAAGACCAGAAATGAAATGCACATTTAAAAGGCATATAATGATCCCATAAAAACTTCTCCTACCAACCAGAAGAATTAATCATTCAGAAGCGAGTTGTTTAACCGAGCAGATCTTCCCTATCATGCAAACTATCATTGTGAAAACTTCGTCTCTTCTGTGTTGAGAGGCAACCTAATACTTTTCTAGAACAAGGATAGCTCAGCAACACCAACACCTCAACATTTTGTCGGATATAATATAATCATTCCACTTAAGATATCAAAAATTCAAGCAAGAAAAAGAAAACCACCACAAATCCACTCAATAAGAACACGAAAATAAAATTCAACAAACCACAAAAGATATTACCAAATGAGCAGGATAACAAAAAAAAAAAAAAATATTTATACCACAAAAAGAAGTGAACACCAATCTTGATGGCAAGTGAGTGGTCAAAAACCTCTATAACCTCCAATAGCGCCAGCTTCCTCATCTCAGCTTCAAATCCTTTACCCGTGAGCCAGCCTCGGAAAACCCCATTATCCAGCAAATACTGAATTCTCTTCATAGTGATCTCCCTCTGCTGTTCCATCGACTGGTTGTAATCAGGGACCACGAAGACTTTTCCGCCCCTCAATTTGGGATTGAAAAGCTTGCTCTGTACCATTAGATTGAAGAGCCAGTCCCTGTCCTCCAAGTTGTGGCCATCCATCAGCTTCCGCATTAAACCCACGTCGAAGGAAGAGGGCCTCTCGGAGGCTTCCGGCGGATTGTAGCCAAGGCACGGCGACCCGAAAATGGCGGTGGCGGTGGCGCGATCATCTCGTAGGTGTCTGGTAAGGACACGGGCTCTGAAAGCTGCGTTATCCATAGCTGGTCTTTGTGATTGATCGATTGAATATCCAAAAGCTGAAGATTACGACAAAGCAGTGTGCTGATTTTATACGACTTTGCTGGTCTTTGAATGAAAATTAATATTATTATTCACGTTCGGTGGCGTCATTAACATTTATTTAAAAGTAAAAATAGAAAATGCCACAATTAAAAACATTATCGTATGACTTGGATAAGGGAATGGGCCTTCCTACAGTTATCAACTTTCTGCTCAAATCCCAAGAGAGCGCATGGGTTCTTTTGACATGAAATTTTGCGGTCCTGTTATATAATTATTCTAGTATATGTCATCGTTAAATCAATTATTATCGACGTATACATTATAATCTAGCTGTTACAAATTTCAATAAAATGGTTCCCTTACGAGACCGTAACATCTCCCTTCTTTTCGCACGTCATTCATTTCGTATCTAAATACACTATAATTTTTAATTTTTTAAAAAATACTTTTAGTAATTACTATATTTTTTCACAGGAAATTACAAATTTACAAATATTGTTTTTAGTAAATACTTAATTTTTAATACACACATATATATAATGCTAGTTTTAACCCGTGCGTTTGCACGAAAAGTGATAGTATAATAGAAGAGGAAGTAATTAAAAATTTAGAATAAAATAAAAATCATAACTTAATAAATGAAAAAAGTAAAAAATAAAAAATAGAATTTAAATAAATAGCTCTGTTTGTTTTTTAGCTGTTTGATCTCAAAAGAGCTTTTTCATCAAGTTTAGCTGTTTGACTTTTTAATCAACTAAAATAAGGGGGTTGTATTCAATTGCAACTTTTAGAGACTTTATAAGACTTTTAGAATTCTGGTGTATTCAATTAAAACTTTTAAAGACTTCTAAAAAGTTTACATGTATTCAATTGAGACTTTTAATGACTTTTAATAAGTCTCTAAAAGTCTGAGGGTATTCAATTAAAACATTCTGAGAGTCTTTATAAGTCACCCGATATTCAAAACAGAAAGACTTTGTGAGACTTTTTAAATTTTGAGACTTTTGGAGACTTTTGTAACAAAATTACAAAGGAAAAGTCTCAACAGAAATCTCATCAATATTGGTGAGATTTTGCTGGACTTATGTGACTCTTTTCACGCTCTCTTTTTTTTTCTTTCTAACACGACTTTGTATCTCATATCAATTTCATACTCTATTATTTTACTTTGATACCTTGTGTAAGTTTTATTTTCATTACATATTATTGTGATCTTTTTATTTTATATATTCTTTATTATGCTTATTTTATGTGTGTATACCGTATTCTCTCATTTTGCTATCTTGTGAATTTGACTTTTCAAAGGTTAATGCTTCCATAGTTGCACTTACAAATAATTCATTTGTTCTTTCTTTTTATTTGTAAATGTTTATTTCAAATATTAAAAAATATTTTATTTTCAAATAGTTTATTTGTTAATATTAAAATATTTTTAATATTATTGATAATTTTATAAGATACAATTACTGTTTTTCGGCATGTTTGTATCTTGTAAAAATATAACCTAATAATATTTTTTTAATATAACAACGTTATGCAAAAATATAAAAAAATAAAATCAATAAATAATTAAATAAATATATCTTAATTTGAGTTGATTATAAGTGTCGTTATAGTAGAGATGTCTAACACATATTTGACCTTGTACTCTTTTAACAAACAAATATAAGGCCCTGCTCGATTCGACTCGTTGAAACTCGGATCGATTTACTCGTTTAATAAATCTAAAATCCTAAACAATTTGTTCGTGAATAACTCATTTCGCATAAAAATGAGTTTAATCATAAATTTTTAGAGGATTAATATATACAACATCTTTTTGTTTTTTCATTTATTCTTGTTTATGTTAGTTATTATGTTACGTTTATTAATATTTTATTCAAACATAATATTATAACTGCAAGTATATAAAAGTCTCAATAAGTTTTAAAAAGTCCACTATGAAAGTCTTAAAAAGTCATTGATGAAAATTCTCTGAAAGTCTCAAAAAGTCCACCAAAGTCATGAAAGTTCTACAAAGTCCACAAAAGTCATCAAATTTAAAAAGTTTTAAAAAGTCCTTAAAAATCTCAATTGAATACACCCTCCTAAAGTGTTTGGTAAATAAAGGTTAGAAATAGCTTTTTTGGGTCCACCAGCCAATTTAAAAAACGCTGGTTTTAGCAGCGTTTCAGATTTAGCTTTTCATTCAAAGTCTTGATTGCTATTTCTCTCTCCACACAGTTTCACAAAAAAAAAAAAAGGATAGCGTTATCTCGCTTTTCTGATTTTGCATATTTATAGGTTTGTTTTGGGTTGTGATTGGGACAAACTTAAATTTGATTTCTTGCGTGATGTGAAAATTGGCTGCCAATTGAGGTTTTATAATTCGATGACATGTTGATACAATGTTTAGTTTAGCTTAGTAGTATTTATATTTTTACCATATTTAAATTATTTTAATAAATATTTATAATATAAAATATTTCTATTTTTTAAATAATAAGTTCAACATAAATTAGAATGATAAAGTAAGTTGATGTCCTTATAAGTAATTTTACATGTTAACAGCAAATTAAAAAGGCTAATTTTATCAAACATTTTTTTACAAACCGCTAACACAATCAGCTGGTCAAAAAAACTAATGCAATCCGCTAGTCAAAACAGCTAATACAATCAGCTAACAGTTAACCGCTGACAGCTGATTACCAAACAAGGCCATTATTAAACACTTATTTATATACAACATTCGTAATTTTTCTAACGTCAGAATTATCATCACAACAAATCATTATCGTTAAACTTCTTCGACTCATGTCTCTAGGACTTGATTTTCAAAATATTTTATGTATCTTTGTAATATTCAGAAAAAAATATTTTTTATTGTATTACCGCAGTAGAAAATAGAGATATTTGTAGTTATTTTTAATTAGTTGTGAAATATTTATTTATATAATACCAAAAAAAATATATAGTATCAATATAAAAGCAAAAATGTTTTGTATTTCAAGACATAAAAAGGCGTTATAAAAATGTGCACCATCCAAAATGAGATGTGTCAAAATAAATTGTGTAATTGTAAAATACATATTATTTACTTACATATTATTATTAAATGATGAACATATTTTTAATTAATGAACACCTATTTTTATTAAATGAACTCATATTATTATTAATTGATGGCTGAATAAAATTTATTGGAACTTGCCAGTAATTATATATACTAGTTTTACCCCGTGCATTTGCACGAAAAGCGGTATAATAGAAGTGAAAGTAATTAAAAATATGCAATAAAATAAAAATCATAATTCAATAAATAATAAAAAAAATAAAAAGTGACTGCAATAGAAAATAGAGATATTTATAGATATTTTTTAATTAGATAGGAAATATGTATTTATATAATACCAAAAAAATATATAGTATCAAAATAAAAATAAATTTATTTTGTATTTCAAGACATAAAAATGTGTTACAGAAATGAGAACCATCCAAAATGGATTTGTCAAAATAAATTGTGTAACTGAAAGTTACATATTATTATAAAATGGTGTACATATTTTTATTAAATTCCACATATTTGTATTGAATGAACTAATATTATTATTATATGAAGGCCGAATAAAATTAAATAAAGTTTGCCAACAATTATATATATATATATATAGATTAAGGGCGTGCTTTGATATAACTATATCCGTTCACAATGTGTCTTTTTTGTTAAACATGGTTAATTTAAATAACTTAGTATGGTTAGCTGTTAAGAAATGTGAGTTTATATAAAATATTTAAATTTGATTTGATGTAAAAGTAGGATAAAGATAATGTGAAGTGATAATTAGTTAAGATTATATGCGTAGATGAGTAATGAATTCAAGTTGATGGGATTTTTGTAACAATTAGGGATGTAAAGGAGCCGAGTTGAGTCGAGCATTGGCCTTATCGAGCAGGATTGACTTTTTTGTTTAGTTGTTCGAGCTTGATTTATGAGGCTCGATCTCGACTCGATAAAAAAGTATAATAGCTCGAGTTCGGCTCGAGATCGACTCGAATACAAATGTCCGAGCTCGGCTTGAGTTCAACTCAAAAAATTTTAAGTAGAAAAATAAAATTACCATTAAGCACCTATGTTGTACTATTGTAATATAAGGTGTATTTTATATATCTCGAACCGCTCGACAATGCAAAATATGGGCTCGAGCTTGATTCAAGTTTGGTCAAACTCGAGCTCGAGTCGAGCTTTGACTCGAGCGCTAGCGAGCGGCTCGTGAGCCGCTTGATTCGTTTGAAGCCCTAGTAACAATGATAGCTTGATATTATTTAATTATATTGATAATATTGAGTCGGTTTGTTTGCATCCCTAGTAACAATGATAGATTGATAATACACTAAGTGATAATAACAGTTTTGCTTCACGCGTATTCACAAATAGTGTATTGACACGTGTCGTACAATAAATATACTTTGGACACGTGTCATTACACTAAGAGCATCTCCAATGTGACTTTTGACAATGTAAAAATTCATCCATATCATCAACTTTTGAAAGTTGTTATTAATTTGTTCTCCAATACATCTTGTCATGAGCTCTTTCATGATGAGGTGGATATCATTTAATGTTGACAATGTTGAGTATACTTTCTAATATCTAACACCATGTTAAACATGATGTCTAATTAATTCACTTTATATTTGATTTAATTTTTTTATTGTTCTTGTATTAATGATTATTTTTATTGGTCCACCTATGCAATAACTTCTTATCAAATTGATGCATTGGAGATACCAATTTGATTCAAATTTATACTCTTTTAACATTATTCCTACATGTATTAACATTACAATCATTGATTGACATGTGCTCAAAATCATTGGCTTTCAAAGCCATAGCATTGAAGATGCTCTAAGTGATGGATGACTCCATAACAGAATCATCTGATAGCTTCATATAATTCTTGTCTATCATATATAATAACAATTAGTAATAACCATAAAAATGTTATCATATTGATAAAGTAATAAATACTTACCACATTGGTTGAAAATATATTTGGGCGGGAAACTGTTAGGGGTTTATTAAATGCCCTGCCAACAATCTATTAATATATAAAGAGACAATGATATTTATTTGAAATAACAATTAAAAATAAACAAAAAATAAAACATTTGATTTCCCGTTGAAAATATTTACTATATTGAGTAATATTTTTTGCCAAAATTGAAAAATCCCGCCAAAATTAATGTAATTAATGCACAGAATCATTTTGGTCAAATATTTAGGCTATTATCTTTATTAGTTGCATGATTTTAATTTGGTATATAATATATTAACAAAACTTGCAACTATTACCTTTATTAGTTGCATGATTTAATTTTGATATATAATATATTAAAGAAATAAAAAGATTTTTATTTAAAATTAAAAGTAAAAAAAAAATAATTTCAATTTGCGGGTCAATATTAACTTTGACGTAAACGAAATAGTCAAGTATTTATAGTTTAATAAGTTACTCAATAACTTACGAGTCAATATTAACTTGGATGTAAACGTAAAAGAAATAAATTATTTATAGTTTAATATATTACTCAACTACTTAATTTTTTATTTGAATAGTTTATACAAAAATAGAGGATTTTAAGTAATGAAACGATATAAATTTTATATGTATACTTATCATTAACATATGTTGTTAAATATATGATAACATTTTACCAAAATAACTATTTTATGGAATCACATTACAGAGAAATCGAATTTCTGAGTAAAATTTTTGAAATGATACTTATTTTGAAACGAATATAATGTGATTTATTATCAGTTATATTGCACCACACAGGTTTTGTACTAATTTTAAGTAGACATTTCTATGTAATTTTGTACGTTTTAAACTTTATATAACATTTTCAATAAATTTGAATATGCAATTGTATTACATATTGATTCTATATTTTTAAATTACAAATAATACTATATAAGAATTTATAATTTATAAATACTAGTGAATATCTCTTACTGCACGGACTCATACTAGTTATAAATATAGGGATTAGTTTTTTATTTTTAACTTAAAATGAGCGAAAAAAATATACAAGTATATATAAAAAAAGAAAATGCTATAATCGGAACCATTTGTTGAGATTTGTAACCATTAAATACACTTTTTTTAAAATCACAGTATACTGTTGAACGACCCGGTTCGCATGATCTATTAGAAATAACGAGTCCGAGTCTGAGCATGGCGAGTCGGATGTACGGATGCTGAGTCTTTGGCTACCTATCAACTGCTCAATCCACCAAACTCGTTCTTAAGCTGTACCAAAGAAGATCCGTGCAGTAAAAATGGCAACTCGACGGTTGCTGGGTTTTTTCCGGAGCCGCCCATTTGCTACTCGCGCGCGGACCAATTCTCGATCAGTAATCCCTCTTTCATTCCAATTGCTCCATGATCAAAATTTTTAGATTGCATAGATTATTCATTATCAATTTAGCAGGGTACCGTAGTTGCTAATCTTTATGGGACTGGAAATGAGGGAAATTTGGGAACCTGTGAATGTGTGTGTTTTGAAGTGATTCATAATAGCTAGTCGAATGCAACAGTTTCTCTAAATCCGAATTCTATGCCTCGCTCGTGGGCTATTTTGTTTAATGGAATAGAAGAGGTTTTCTGGAGCTTTGTCTTGGATTGCACATGGCTGTAACCTAATCTTAAGAGGGCAAAACTTTTAGTTGTACTAAATGTGACAAAACTTTCAATGTTTTCTCTCATTGACAACCTGTTCTTGATTTATGTAGCTGAGCACGCTGGTCCTGGGGGAGCACGAGGGAGGTGCGGTTAAGGACTCATCGTTAAGTGCTGTGGAGGCTGCTAAATGCTTGGGTGAGGACAATTCAATATCTTTGCTGCTTGCTGGTTCAGGTCCTTCCTTACATGAAGCCGCTGCCCGTGCTGCCTCATCACATCCTTCGATCTCTCAGGTTCATCTTTCGCATACCTTACTCAGGCAGTATTCGTTGATATTATATTAATTGGAGTTTCATGATGATTTTGGTTATGATGGGATCTGGTCGAAAATATTTCTGAAGCTTCTGTATTAATCTAGATTTCATGGTCTGCAAACTCATGCAGAAATAGGGTCTGTGGATCAGGATAATGATATTGAAAAGTTAAATTATCGATTATTGTATTCTGGTGTTTGTTTAGCTGTGAGTGGAGTGGTGAGTGGAATAGAATTGGTTGAACTTAGAGAAGTTAGGTCCCCAAGGAACTGATATCAGTTTACCATTTTTTGTGGATATTCAGTTTTGTCAGACATATCTTATGCAGGTCCTTCTTGCTGATTCAGACAAGTTTACATATCCTGTAGCCGAACCATGGGCTAAGCTAGTACATATTGTACAGCAGAAAGGCTGCTACTCACACATAATTACCGGATCAGGTTCTTTCGGAAAAAATATTCTCCCTCGTGCAGCAGCTCTTTTGGATGTTTCTCCCATTACTGATGTCACCGAGATTAGCGGGCCTAACATTTTCGTCAGGTAACTTTTGGTGTTCAATTTTCTAACTTTAGGTTCTTATAAGTGCACGATAGAAAATTGTGTGCATTCATTGTATTTTGCTTACACATTTTTTTTTTTTTCAAATGACAGGCCAATATATGCTGGTAATGCTCTCAGTACTGTTCGGTACACTGGCTCAGACCCCTGCATGTTGACCATCCGGTCTACGTCATTTCCTTCCGAGCCTGTGTCAGCTAATTCCGTATCTAATGCTGCATCCATTGATAAGGTTGACCTTTCAAACCTCCACCAAGGTTTGCAATATATATACTGAAATTTCTATTAACTTGTTGCTTTAATCGAGTTTGTGAGAGCATTTATGAAGTACATGCTTCGATATTACACTACAAATATCCGGCTAAGTTGATTTTGTGGATTATTTAAGATGATGCGGTTGGAAAATCAAAGTACATAAGTCTTTCCTCTCAAGATACAGAGCGCCCTGATCTTGGTAATGCACGTATTGTTGTCACGGGGGGACGAGCTCTAAAAAGTGCCGAGAATTTCAAATTGATTGAGAAGCTTGCTGAGAAACTTGGCGCTGCAGGTTTCTAATTTTGTGTATGATGTTTATAGTTGCATACTACTACTATTTCTGCTGGATTTGAATTTCTGTCTTAAACTCTGGTAATTTTTTTTTTTTCTTCCTTGGGTGAATCTCATGGTTTGTGGGCATGTTCAATATGCATCTTTCTTTAAGGAAAAAACTCACACCCTAAATCAATGCAGTTGGAGCAACTCGTGCTGCTGTTGATGCTGGATTTGTCCCGAATGAGCTTCAGGTTAGGCATAAGAAGACTATTTGCAGCATCCCAAACGAACTTGATCCCAATATCTTTTTCCTTTCCCTCATTATCAACTGATGTTAAGTTCAAAATTTCAAGTTGCGCTCAAACACAATAAGATTCCGAGTATTCTTAAATACTGAGTTTTTGGATGGTTTTGAAATTTCCATTTGGAAAATTGCATGAGTAAATAGTTGCTCGTCTTGTTCGTCTACCAGGTCGGTCAGACAGGAAAAATAGTTGCTCCTCAGTTGTACATGGCTTTTGGTGTCTCTGGAGCTATTCAACACTTAGCAGGCATGAGAGATTCTAAAGTCATTGTTGCTGTAAATAAGGATGCTGATGCGCCTATTTTTCAGGTCCTTTTCAAACCATATGCTGTTAATCTTTCACCTGTTTTTATCACCATCAAGCGTGTAAATAAATTTTTTACATGGATTTCTATATGCATTAGTATCATTGACAAGCCTTGTGCAAATGTTATGATCACTTGTTCAACCTGTGCCTGAACTGTTGCAGATTGCTGATTATGGGCTTGTAGGGGACCTTTTTGAGATCATACCAGAATTATTGGAGAAACTTCCAGATCAAAGATAGACGATGGCGTGTGCGAAACACTGCAAATGTTGACGTAATAATTATATTAATGGGTATCCTTTATATGTATGTACCACGATGCATTAGTTTCTCTTAGAAGCTGAGAAATGAAGCCTACTCTTTGTATCTTTAACTGGATATTGAAATTGAATTCTGGAATGTATTTCCAAAGTATGATTGATATTGAGTTTGTGCGCTAATGCACTGATACATTTTATTGATCAAGTCGAACGACTTCTAAAACACTGTTCGTTAAGTTGGTCAATTTAACGAACTTGCATTACCTTCTCTAATGTAGGAATTAGAGCTATATAGCAAAAATAGCAAGGCTCTGACTGGGAATAGCTTATAGTAACAAGAATCTGGAAGGGATTTTAACATTGCAAAACATCTAATCATGCTTTTTGAACGGAAAAACTTCGAATAAAATCCTTGATTTCATCATTGGCAGCTCTATCCAAAGCAGTCCTGCCTTGTACATCTTTCACCGTATAATCAGCTCCGGCTCTGAGTAACTCTTCAATCTTGGGCTTATCACCTTCAGAGGCAGCCATTAAAAGCAAGATATCGACCGGATGGATATTTTGATTCAGAAGAGCCTCCATTTTGTCGTACGAACCTTCCACGGCCAGCATCCCCATGTAATTGAAGTACTATCCACAGAGAAAAACTCATTCACCATTGATTTAGTTGTTTTAGTTTTTTTCTTTTCCCCATTTTTTTTTTTACCTCATTTTCTCCTCAATTACATGGATAATTAGTGAAGGAGTACTCTATTATTACATCAGAAAATGCACAAAAAATAGTGAGAAACTTACAAATTCAGAAAGAGAAAACGGAGAGAGAGATTGTTATGAACCTGCTCAACATCGTCGCGGTCAAAATCATCGCGGCCTTGGCTGCCATAAATGCCGGCGCCTTCGGCATCGACGCCATTTTTGCCGAACCTGAACCAGCAACGAATTGTCGAGCCACGGCTGGGTCCGTGCCTCGACCTTGCTCTGCACCCAACTCTAATGGCGGAGCCTAGGAATGCAGAATTCAACTTCGGAAAAGCTGCGGCAGGACAAAGGGAGCGAGAAGAAGAAGATGAAAGGGCGGCTTTGATGGAGAATTTTGAGTGGAGAGCGCAAGGAGCTATGGACGCCATTGCTAACTGCTACTGTGCTTTCAGATTTCAGACTTTACAGAGATATATGCCCAAAACCAACGGTCCTTATTTAAGCAACTTTTTTTTTTTTTTTTTTTTTTTT